GCCAGGCGGACCTCTTTGGGGAGTGAATTCCATAGGTTGGGTGCCACCGCAGAGAAAGCCCTCCTCCGGGTACTTACTCTCCTAATTTCTAATGCTCATTGAGGCTGGGAAAACTGCATCTTGGCTTTACCACTTCAGAATGGCAGATTGGGGTGCATGGGATTGCTCATTCCCCCACACAAATGCAGATATTTCCTGGACATAGAAAACTGGTTCATCAGGAAGACAGATTCTTGCTTGATTCCTGTGATGGAGCCGGACCAGAACACTGGACTGGTGTCTGGTTCTGAGCTGCATGGTTTTCAGTAGCAGCTTTTGGCTGGCCATTGCTGAAACTGCTGCTCCGTTGGATTCAAAACATAGCAAAAGCTGTCCTTCGAGAATGATCAGGGGGTCATTGAGAGGAGTGGCTGCAACTACTGGGACTATTCAGCTTAGAGAAAAGGTGAGGAGGGGGAGATGTGATAGAGGTGTTCAAAATTAGGGCTAGAATGCAGAAAATGAAGAGTGGCAGATTTTTCTCCCTCTCCCATAACACTTGAACCCAAAGCAGTCATCCCATGAAGCTGACTGTGGGGAGTTTAGAACAGATAAAAGGATGGACTTCTTCACACAACAAATAGTTAGGTTACGGAATTCACTGCCATGGGAATTGGTGATGGCCACCAATCTTGATAGCTTTAAAAGAGGATTGGACAGGTTCAAGACCATCTGTGGCTACTAGCCCTGCTGGCCACGTGCTGCCTCCTTCACCAGGGTAGCACGTCTGCACACGCCATTGCTGAGGAGCTGGGCAGGAGGACAGCTTGCCCCCGTCCTGCTTGGGGGATCCTGTGGGCAGCTGGTTTGCCACCGTGTGTATGCAGTGCTGGACTGCATGGACCTTGGGTCTGATCCGTCGTGGCTTTTCTAATGTTTTTCTGTTGTGTCCTTTATTTTCCACTCAAAATGGAAGGGAGGGGATTTGGGGAGGGGAGTGGCCAAAAGAAGAAAGCATTATTTCAGGCGGTGAGATATCGTAGGGGAAGAGCAAAGGTATCATGGGTGGGACACACCCTGTGCTTTTGAGGGTTGCTAGAGCCTGGCATTGCAAGGTGAGCACCGCGGGGATCCGAATGCTGCCACCCCCTTGGCAAAGAGGATAAAGCAAAGAGCTGCCTCCATTATTCTCTGCTCAGGAACCTGAGCTCTGAAACTGAATTTGGGGTGTCTTGTCTCCAAAGTAAGACTCATATCCCAAGAAGGGTTCCATGCTCCAAACCATTTCTGCTCAGTTAGCACCAAAGAAGCAACTGCTTTCTCCAAGGTGGGATCGATCCCAGATCAGAACTGGAAACCTTTCTTAGCCTGAGGGCCATGTTCCATTTCAGAGACGCTCTTGGGGGGCTGCATGCCAATTTGGCTCCTGTGACTGAGGTTTTGTACCCCTGCTCCGGTTCTTGTGGCACTGAATAACAAATTGACATGGAGTAGATTCCATGTCAGTGAAAGCTGATGCCACAGTAAATGCATTAGTCTTTCATGTGCCACATGGCTGACTCATCACTGCCTTTTGCTACAACAAACGAACACAAACAACCCCTCTGGAAGGTTGCCCAGGTGATGGTCTCATCACAAGTCCCTTTGTCTTACACAGCTTAGGTTTACCTGATTTCCTCCCCTCCCCTTTTCTTCCACCTGCCCAGATGACTTAAAGTGAGATCGTTCTGACACACACACCGGCCGCAGCTTCTCAGTTCTTCCTTGAATGATGAACCATTGGAACACCAACAGATTCCACATTTGGAAGACGACGGACCCTAATGTAAACTCCTTTGTGCAGAAGCAAAGAGGAGACTTTCTGAGTTCGAGGGTATCTTGCAGCAGTCTCTTTAGAAAAGACTTGAAAACTCAACAGTGTTCTTGCTTTCTTTTCCAGTGTTAATGGCCCCTTGATCCACCCACGATGTATGAATCATGGCGGAAAGGAGGGGGTGCCTTCCTTAACTAAAATATTAATATTTTAAAGTCCACTTCTATCATTTTTTAAGAACAATAATTTGTATCGATTAGTTCCCACACAGATTTTGTGTTGTCACCCAGGAATCTGCTAATATTATGATCTAAGGTCTGAGAAGGTCTTTGTTATGTTTTAAAACAGTTTATTAAAAGAGAGGTTGGTTATTCAGATTTTGTTACTCATAAACATGTTAAGACTTTGCCTATCCAGTGACTCCACTGCAGAAGCACACCAATTAATTTCATGCCCTGAATTCCGGCATCTTGAGAAATTTGGGCCTAATGAATTGCCAGTCCTTAAACCTATAACGAGGGAGGTTTGGAATCTGAGACTCCAGAGGACTGTGATCGATCAAGAGGTTGAATTTTCATTCCCTTGTTAGCTATTTGGACCTAACCAGAGTAAATCAATTATGCAAATATATGCAAATAGATTAATTTACATACCATAGCTAGGTCACAGAATTCAGCTGCCTTGCTGTACATTGTTGGTTTATTAAAGGGGTTCAAATCAACCTTAGAAATTCATCTGAGGCTACGGTGGAATATGCACAACAGCACTGCCTTGAACAGTTTCGTGCTTTCCTTTTTTTCAGTTTGCTGACAAACACCCAATTCTTACATTCACGTTTTACGTGATGAGGGCACCTGATATGTGGCCTTCTCTCTCTCTCTCTCCCTCTCCGCCCTTCTTTTCTGTGGAACTGCTCACTCATGGTATTTCTTTTGTGAATGTGCTACCCCGTTGCGCAGAGCGGCAAGTGCCGCGTGGTAGAGAACTGTAGCTTTCTGTCATTTCTCCAAGCAGCAGTTGGTTCTTGGCTCTTGTGCCGTACGGTGCTTCCAGAAGTGCTTGCTAAGCGGCTCTGGCAGCAAAAGTCACCATGTGGTGAATTTACCCTGTCAGAAGTGTATGAATGGACAGGAGCACCAGGCCTTAAGGTACTTTGCAATAGTAAATGAAGTGTAATAGATTTTTTTAAAAGAAAAAACTAACATGGAATAATATAACTCAGCGACAGTTGTAATGAGGGGTTAATGTTTGCTTTTTCAGATTCCCTCATTTTTGTTGTTAGCTGTGATGTGTATGTCTCCTGATTTTAGAAATGGTTTATAAATAAGTGGTTTTGCAGCAGCCTGTCTTTCCACACACAACACAAATTGCTGCCTTTTTGATGCCAAGCTAAAGCTTTTGCAACTAGTTGGCCTTCTTCCCATGGAAGCGTGAACAGCCCCAACTGGGATTGGCGCCACAGTGCTTGTGGGGACAGGAAATAAAGCCCTCCTCCCACCAATTCCGCCCCCCTCAAAATTCCATCCCGTTTGTGGGGGGAGACTTTAAAAGAGTGTCTATTGGAATTGGTGGATACTTTTTTTTCTTTTTTAAACTGCAGCCATGGGAAGGGTGGAATTTTGGTGGGAAATGGGTAGGAGGGAGGGAAGGGTAACTCCCACTCCCGGAGCGCCATGCTTCCAATCCGGATTGGGGCTATGTGTGTTTGCATGGAAGTAAGGTAGACTATCGGTCAGAGCCACAATGTGTGTGACTAGCAGAATTTTCTGTTTGTTCTTCAGATTTTACGGATTAGATCCTGAAGCTCGGTTGAGACTTGACAAATTATTTGCACCAAGATTATCAATCCTACAGATTTATGGTTCTAATCCCAATTTTTGCACTGCAAAGAGTTAAGTATCTCTCTCTTTTTCCTTTAAAAAAACACTTCTGATAATTTCAAAGCCTGGACTTGTCTCTTTGTCAGTTTGGGATGCAAAATCATAAGAGAAGGAAGGGGTCTGTTGCTTCAATTTACGGGTGGAGATGTTGCTAGTGGGCAAAGGACTTCAAAATTCTTATCTAGATTGGTGCATTGAAAAATGAATAGCAATAGACTAATTCCCGTCTGAGGCAACACTCTGGCAATAAATCACAGAACACCTTGCATACATTGATCTTTGTTAAAAATTCTGCCGTACGAAAGAAAGGCATCCGGGTGGACAGAATGTTAGAAATTTCCGGGAAATCTCCTTGTGGCAGCTCAGACTCCTGGTCTCACAGAGGTGGGCGGCCGCACGCACCCCAGCAGAGCTCTGGCTATTTAGCCAGGTGTGTGGCACTGGTTGTGGCAGGGACCCCCGTTGCTCCTGCGTTTTCCAGCCACACTCTCCATCTGATCCTTTTAGCATTTGGGCGGCTCACGCTTTGGAAAGTACCGATGGGTCTTAGCGCTGTGACGCCAGCAATGTTTTCCTACCTTGACAGAAGTGTATTTTCTGAATTTGCAATTCTTCGGCTCCTGGTACATACTGCCATGCTCCAAATGCAGCCGGCATAATCAAAGAAGGGTAGCCGTGCCTTTGGGAGGCTCGTCTCGTTGGGCTTTCTGGGCTACACACACTGCTCTGCGCACCCAGCTGCTGGTGGCCCCTTGTTAAAACAACTCCTCTTCTTTCAGGTGCCCCAGCTGAACGATTCAGGCTTCGCTTGGGATAGCTAGAGCAGCGGGGAGATGCAGGCAGGCCACATCGTGTTCCCGTGGCTGTTTTGGTGACACAGCCCAACTGTTTACTGCCTTTACAAGCAGGATGCTACTCCCAGGAAGCAGTTTCTTTGTAGCTGCAAGAGTAATTTTGGCAGCAGTGGGCACATGTGGCCCCTGATGGGTTCTAGGGCACGGCAATGTGCCCTCCCCAGCCCCCCAGAGTTGCCCATCCGAGGTTAAACAATTGGCCAGCTTCGAGTCCTTCCGAGAAATGCATGTGGCACGATGGCAGTGCAGACGTACCACCGATCCCCCAAGTCAGCCCTTCCCAATCAGGTGTCCTCCAGATGTGTTGGACTACAGCCCCCCTCATTCCTAGCCCTGGGGATGATGGGAGTTGTAGCCTAACATGGCCAGAGGGCACTCAGTCGGGAAAAACTGCCCCAGAGCAAGCAGAGAACACATTTAAGGGATGTCAAGGTTCATGCTGGATGCAGCCGAAGGACGATCGGGGGCGCATGTGTGAATGTGTGTGTGCTGGACCCATTCAGAGCGATGGCGATGCAGGTGCAGAAGCGGCATGTTTGGCCAGGGGCAGCCCCGATGGTGACGCAGCCCCGGACATTGCAAAGAGATGTGGCACACTAAGGCCTCGAAGCTTAGCCCTGCCACGTGTGGGGGCTCATGGGAGGCTCCCTGACCCAGCCCCATGGACTACCTTCCTAAAATGGGGAAGGAGTCAAACAGGCTATAGCATCAGCTGCCTGACATGACGCCATTGCTCCATGTAGCCCATCATGGTCTATTCAGAAGGGCCGTAACTCTCCCAAGAATCAGGAGAGGTACTCCGGATCCCCATTGCCCAGTGGAACCTGTGCACCCCATACCCCTCTCTTTGCAACACAGAAAGCTAAGCGGGATTATACAAAGCCAGCTCCATTGGCCCACCTTCTCACTAGAAGTGGCTCTCCAGGTATGGAGCAGAGCTTTTCTAGCTGTACATGGAAATGCTGGGGAGTGAACTTAGGACCTTCCAGACGCAAAGCGTGTGATACACCACAGAGCTACGGCTGGAGGGCTGCATGGTGGACCAGGGATTGTGGAGTCCTGACACACATCGATTTTATTTCCAGGGGGCTTAAATGCACTAACTTTTCTTTGGGTTGTGTACAGAAAGCTGCTTTTTTAAAAATAAATTTAACAGTTTCTTGGTGAGTTTAAAGAACTTTGTTGTTTTTTTGGAAAGAGGTTTGGACTGTAACAGTTCCAAAGTAACACGATGGCAAGGTGGGTTGAGGGAAATAAGCTCACCTGTAAAATGTAGCATTATTTTTCTTTTAGTACTAAGGGGTATGCTCAACTCCTTTTCTTTATGGAAAGTAAGTTTTAGATTAAGCCTTGTTCAACCTGATGTTTTCAAGGAGACAAGATGTTGTTGGACTGCAATTCCCAGCATATCTGACTGTTGGCCTTGCTAGCAGGGGCTGACGGGAGTTGAAGGTCAAAATATCTGGAAGACAGTCAGTTGGGAAAAAACAGCCGACAGCCATGAAAAGGTCATGTATTGCCTTTAAAGGAATACATAATTTTATTGAATTTCTAATAAGGTGCACAGGGTGAAACTGGACTCAACCTCAGACAAAAGTGTTGGTTTAGGTCCTGTTGAAATCACTGTGACTTAAATTAATCCCAAATGACTTAAGCCCGACTGAGTTTTGATGGAACTGAACTGACGGTAGGATGTTGTACACGTCTCCTCAGACATGTTTCATTAGTTCTGCTGGCGCTTATTCCAGAAAAATGCTGGGGTAGGGAGCTTGCTGCCCACTAAACATTTTGAACTACAGCTCCTATAGGCTCCAGCTACTCAAGGATTATGGGAGTTGTAGTTCAAAACATCTGAAATGCAGTAAATTGCCTACCCCTGAGGAATGGGACTACAGCATACCTACCCCCGAATCCAAGTGACATCGTTCATTGCTTTTTTATTGATTTCTGAAAGATTTCTGAAAGCTGTTCATTGGATAATGTGATTTTCCCCTTTTCTATTTGTAACTTGATTGGTTTTTCTGCTGCTGCTGTTTTTTTTTTTTTAAGTTTTCACTTCCCTTTTCCCGTTACTTACTTTTAAGGAATTAAAAATATACAAATGGAACAATGCCGTGTCTGTGACATTCCCTGCCTGAGATTTATTTAAGTATTTTAATGCTCTTCCTCCACTGAAAAAGCTCTCAGAGCGGCACCCATGTAATCAATGCAACAAGACAGTTCTTGCTTGCAGGCATACAATTGAAACAGTCACAGCACACAAGGGCAAAGTGATGGGAAAGGCAGAGGAGAAAAATATGTACGTTTTTCAGCAGGACTGGGGGAATGGTCTGTGCATCTCAGCCCAGCCCAGCCTGCTGGGATGGCTACCTGTGATGACTTGAGAAGTGAGACCTTTTTTTTTTTTTTTTTGGGGGGGGGGGGGCGCCAGGGAAAGGTAGGAATTGGCTAAGGCCTGCAATCTGTGGGGGGGGGGGGGCAGAATGAGGTGGTAGAGTGAATTCTAGTAGTTGAGGCTGTTGGTAAATGCTCATTCTTGTAAAAATAAATAGATACACTCCCTGCAAGCATCATATCAGGTTGTTCAGAACTTCTTTCCCTGTAAAACAAGGCTTTTTCTTTCCTGTAGAATTATTTTTAAAGGTTGTGCAGCAAGACATTCAAAAGTAATACTCTTTCTGCCTGTGGTCTGACTTGATACAGTCCATTCTGCCATTTTATTCTCCTGTATTCCTGGTCAGTATTGACATTGTCTCTGACTCAGTTGTAAGGGATTTAAGGCCCAATCCAGGATCTTCTCATGCAGAAGGCCAGGATGCAGAAAACCACACAGTGAGTTCCAAGTGTGTTAGGCTTTCCACTTGCTTATTTATTTATTTGATTTATATCCCACCTTTTCCTTAAAAAAAAACTAACTAAAAGTGGCATTCATCATTCTCCTCTCCTGCTCTCCAGCCTATCCCCACAAGAACAACCCTGTGAGGTAGGCTGGGCTGAGAGTCTGTGACTGGCCCAGTTGGCTCCAAGGCTGAGTGGGGATTAAAACCCACATCACATGAGTCCCAAACCCACGCTCTTAAGCACAACACAACACTGACTCTCCATCAACCCTTCTGTCCCCACCATGTATTTAACAAACATGTTTAGAAGGGAAAAAAGATGCAAAAAAATTTAGAAAGGGTCCAGAGAAAAATGACCCAGGGTTTGGAAACAGGGCAGACTCAGAGAACTGGGTATGTTCAGCCTTGAGAAGAGAAGAGTGAGGGGGATTTGATATCACTCTATCAAATCCTCTCTCAAATAACTCAAAGGCTGTTACACAGAGGAAGATCAAGATCTCTTGCTGATAGCAGAGTGCAGAATTGATAAGCTTGAGATGCAACATCCCTGATTCAGGCTACACATATCAGGATCAGGAAGTTTCCTCACTGTCAGAGCAATACAGCAGTGGAGCAATACTGCCTAGAGGGGTGGGGGGGGGGCTCTCCCAAACCACAGACATCCCAGGGGAAACTGGACAGCCATCTGAGTGGGATGGTGTGAACTGGTGACCTGCACCAGCAGGGGATTGGACCCTTCCACATCTACTATGATTCTATGAAGTGGGAAGCACTGGAAGTAGATCGTGCTTTGGTGTCATGGTGCCCATGGCAAGCGTACGGGAAACAAAACATGTTAGACTTGGGAATCAGACATCCTGAATTGCATGCAATGGTCTGAGACAGATGCAAGAAGGTGCTTAGGAAAGGCAAACCCTAAAGGGGACACCCATCCATCCCCGAAACATCGAAAGTGCAGGTTCAGGACCTAAAGAACGTTGTACGGCTCTTGTGTGGAGGGACATGGAAAATGGGGTAGTGGGGTGGATTTCTGGATTTCAGAAGCTGATTTCTGATCAGAAGCACTCTGTAATTGGGTCCATTGATCAATGGCTGCTGCCCGTCCCAGGTAAATGACACCTGCATGCTCAGAGGTATTGCTTGTCTTTCAATATGTTCCTGAGATGGGAGGCAAGAAACTAGAGATGTCTGCAACATTTGTTGCCTGAAAGTACCTACTTGGCCATCGTTAGGACAGGATTCTAGACTGAATCAGCCTTGCATTTTATCCAACCAAATGCATCTTAACAGCCTTATCATTTATGTTGTTCTTTTCTTCACTTTTTCTAACTCTACAATATCCCTTTTAGGTGTGGCAACCAACTGTACAGAGTCTCCTAAGTAAAGTCACACCATAGATTTGTATAAGGGGTGTAGGATCTCAATGTTATTTACCATTTCCCACCTAACTATGCATTGCATTTTTCACAGCACACATTGGATGATGGTAGTTGTTTAATTGCATTTATATCCTACTTTTCTTCCTCTTGCAAGCCCAAGGCAACTTACAAGGTTATCCTCCTCTATTTTATGCTGATCTCTTCACTGAGCTCTCTACCGCAATCCCAAGATCTCTTTCTTGGTCAGTCATCACTAATTTAGATCCCAGCTTATATCTAATATTGGGGATTGATTGATATTGATTGATTGATTCAACATGGATCATGTGACACTTGCTTACGCTCAACCGTATTTGCCATTTTGATGGTTGTTCTCCCAGTTTGCCAAGTTCCTTTTCTCATTTCACCATCCAAAATAATTTGGTGTCATCAGCCAATGTTGCCACTTCATTGTTCACTAATTCTAGATCAGTTATGAATAAGTGAAAAAGCTTTTGTTCAGCTATAGATCCTTGTAGAAACCTGCTGTTGACACACCTCTATAGGAACAATGCAGGGAGGAAGCAAAACCACACCAACAAAAAATTACAAACTTTATTGAATACTTTCAAAACTCGAAAAACTCATCCATGAGAAAAACCTGTTAAAACCTCCCACACTGCAAGACTGATTTCCCCCACTTCCTAACTGGGTAGGTGTGGGAAATGACCAAACTGTCCAGATTAAGAAACTATTGGATTGGAAGGGTTTTGGTATTGATATAAAGCCATTCTGTGAGCTGCTTTTCCCTAGATCACATAGACGTAAGAAAAGAGAACATGCCAAGATGCTGATCTTCAAACATTTGCAGTGAATGGCTTCGGCACAGAAGGGTCAACCGAGGCAACCCCAAGTGTCCGGCACAGAATCCCTGGGCATTGCAGAGGATTATGGGACATGATCTATTGCAGAGGCTCTGATGGAAATGTCCTAGGCATGCTCGTTTAGTAAATGCTCGTTCATTTCCTTCCTGGCCTGTTAGGCTTCATCCACTGTCCTGCTAGAAGAGAGGCTGAGGAACAAACCATTCCCTTTTTAGTGCGCAGCACGTTGACCATGTTGCCCTCAGTCCGGATCTGGACAGCCAACACACAGGTAAGGGGTTAAATTTAGGTCCCCCCTCCTTTCCTCAGCCCTTGCACATGGGCTAAAGAAAGAGAACCCCAATTTGCACTAATAAAGCCCCCCCCCTTCATATGAGCATGCAGTGGAAGATGTCCCATATGCTTACACTAAGATGAAAATAAGAGAAAAGGTTAGGATACTCTGCACTCCATACAGTCAACACAGAGTATGCTTTAGCCCTTGGTTCTCATTGAGGTGGCAAGCCTATCACCCAGAGAGCTTCCCTAAAGGGGAAAAATAGACTTGAGATTCCCACTCAGAAAACAGTCAGGAAAAGTATGTTAGGCTGGAGCTCTTCTCAACTTGCTAGCTTTCTACATGCAAGGAATCCTTATTTATGGAGGAACATTCCATCTGGAAGTGGTACAGCCCAAACCACCTCAGGGAAAACAAAGTCTGAGTGTGGCCCCCAGTAGACAATACACCCAAGCAGTCCTCTCTGGCACTGAGCGGCTGGGAACCGTGGGGCAGCCGCCGGTAAACAATCTCTCCACCTTCTCCTCACAGCCTGTCTGTTTGATTCTCCCTTGGGGCCCAAACTGCAGCACCTCCCAGAGAGACAGAGAGACCAGTTCTGCCCACCCTTTGACACTGAAGAGATGAAAGCCACATCGGGCACTAGGCCCCAAATCGATTCTGCAGAACCCTGCGTGTTGCAAAAGAAAAACTTCCTCAGCTTAATTGCTGCACAGGGTAAGGTTTAAGGGGCTGCGGCTGGAGAAAGGGAGGGGGAATTACTCCCACAAGCTGCAAAGACCACCCCACAAACCTCCCTTGCATGGCAATAAAGCCTAGAATTAAACTTTCCCTGCCAGTTTGGGAAGTTGAGATGATCTAGAAAAGACAGTAGCTGGCTGAGTACGTCTCCTATGAAATTTAAATAAAACCTAGGAAGCATTTCTAAATTTGCATAAACAAATATAAATTAGCATGAGCACATTTGTGGCAGGTGCAGACCTGAGTCCCAAATCTTTAAGTGCCTAGCAACACCCCTGAGCACAAGCAAAAACGGACCAACATTACAACCTCCCCATAAAATCTTCATCCCGTCCCATCGAGTAGGACTTCCCTCTAGCCCCACAAGTCCTTTTTCTTTTCTGACACTTAAAAATTCAAAGACATTTACAAATAAATACATTTTCTTTTGCAGAAATATAGAGTTCATTTAAAAATAGTACTTATTAAAACAATTAAAAACTGAATGTGTTCCAGGAGGCTCCAGAATACCGACTTTCAAATACCAACCTTTAATAACTTTTTTGTTTTTTAAGATTTTAAAAGCAGATGTTTAAAAGCAGGCAAGGAAGGATTGCATTTCAGCAAGAACACCAGTTTCATTTAGGCTGGAGGTGAGGGACTCCTATTCCCATCAGCCCCAGCCAACACAGCCAATGGTCAGGTGTTATGGGCTCTGTCTTTGAATATCTGGAGCGCAGCAAGTACCCCCCACCCCGATTTTTGAATATCAAGCTCTGCTTGAATCTAGGCTTGTCAACCAACGAGGAAAAAGCAAAAGAAAAACGGGTTCTCGCCTATGAAGTGGCACGTTCTGCACCAGCAAAATACCTCCCGCGACACGCAGGGGCGATGCCCAAGCGTCAGCCCCATCTGCCTTTCGCAGCACGCAGATCCGCACTCTCAATGGCTGGACGTCGTGCTGCTATCAAAGGCACAGGAGGAGGACTCTGCAAAGAGCTGGCAGCGCTCTTCTTGCCAAGAGACCCCTGGGAACGAGCAAGGCCCACCTCAGATTCGGGGCTGGTTCAAGAGCACAGGCGCCATCATGGCAACGCGGCGCTCCTGGACTGTCCCACTTCAGTCCATGCCTGACCGACCGCCCGCCCGCCCGCCCAGTAGAGAGAACCTACCTGGCCACGGGGAGCCAGCCCTGCTCGCCTGGCCCATGCAGGAAAGTGCGTGCAGGGACGGACCGTGCCATGGACCGGTTGCCACGTTAGCTTGCTTACTCCACAGCCAGATCAGGCACGCAGCGACGGTGGCACGGTAGGCTCTAACTGCAGCCGCCTCCTTCCACACCGCTCGACCGAAAACAACTTTTTATTTAACTTGGCCTGTTAAGCGCCTTGCATTTCAGGGATAGGGGGCGCCACTCCGCCACAGCCAGCATGGAAATGCAGGGTATAAACCAGAATATATGTAAGCAAGCAAGCCTAATTTTGCTGGGGTTGTTAACAAACTAAGTATTTTCTCCCTGACATGCTAGTTTTCTTTGTGCAAGGGAGGGTTTTTTTTGGGGGGGGGGAGGGCTTTAAAAATGGTGATAGTTCCCCCCCAATGGACTGAAGTGGTACAACCCAGGTTCCTCCTCTGCATGTACTGCTCAGCCCCCCTCTGGCGTTCCATCTCTCCCTGACAGCCCAAAGGAGGACGGCCGGACCTCTGGGACACCTGGGTACCCTGGAAGACTTCTAAGATGGCTGCATTGCTCATCTTATAATTATTATTCAGTTTTGGAGTTTGGAATGAAAGGGTAACCCATGCTCAGCCTCCATTTCCTCCCTCCTTGCCCCTTTCTGCAACGTGTGTAGAACAGCCATGCTCCTTATGGGCCGGCTCCAAAGACAGACTCAAGAAAGATTGTACAAGGTTTTGCTCTTCTGCGCTGCTCTGTTTTTTTAAGTTTCAGGTTGGCAGCTAGTTTTATTTTGTCTTTTCACATTACTGATTCTGTCATTTTATTGCATACTGTTGCAACACTGCACTTCCAATTTCTGTCAGCTGACTTAATACACAGTTTATTAATAAATATAAAATAAATAAAAAGTAACTGAGAAACAGTAGCATCAACAGAACCTTATGTGAAGCTTCAGATCTGACACAGCTTCATGGGAACAACTTGTGCCCACCACCTCCTCCCCCCTCCCCGATTGCTTGGAAAGTAGAAGCAGCTTAATTGGTGCCCTGCATGACCAAAGTACCCTGACAACCACCTTGTGAGGTAGGCTGGCAATCCCCATTTTACAGGTGGGCTGAGATGACTTGTTAAAGCTATGCAACAATCCATCCCAGATCAGCATTCACCTCCTTATCCACTGTGGCTATACGAGCTCTGAGCCACACGGGGGTCACAAGCTGTTGGTGTGGGATGTTGCATACACCTTTTTGCATAGACAGGTGGCTCGGTGGCGGGGAGGGAATCCTGGCAAACTCGCCCCTTGGGAAATGTTCTGCCACAACGTGTGTGAAAACTACAACAGGGTGGAGGGAAAGTCAGCACTCATCATTCCCACGTCTTTCGTTTTGTTCCCCTGTTTGGCCGCGTGTCGAAAGCGTGGGATGCAGCATCTGAGGTGGAAGGCATGGGGGCGTCAGCAGCGGCGTCTTCTCTTGGTCCGTCTGTAGGTTCAGGGACGGGATCACACAGGCCACCGGTGGGGGGCAAAGGAGGCACCGGGCATGGAATGACGGGACTGCTCATTGGCTCAGAGGGCATTCCAGGCACGTGACTGGGCGGCAGGGGCGTTCCGGGCTCCGGGGGCCCCCAGGGCGGGTTGCTGTACCCCTGGTAAGAGCCGTAGCCAGGGCAGGCACCTTGCTGGGGGGACCGCTGGCCGGTGAATACTGCTGCGATGGCTGCCATGGTGGCAGTTTGCTTCCCCAGGAACTCCCCCAGGTCACTGTGGGAGCGTTCAATGGCATTGACCATCAGCTGAGCTGAAGCCCGGTCCTGGCGCCTCTCCTGTTTCCGGTGCTGCCTTTCCTCCTGCCGGGCCCGGTCGAAGGCCTTCAGGTCCTGCCGGTGCAGCCCCCGCATGGCGTCCAAGAGCATGGAGGGAGCCCGCGATGCTGACTCAACCAGCTGCATGCTGGTCTCCAGGCGCTGCTTCCGGTTCCGCATCCTCCGGTTCCGCATCCGCTCTGCGTTTGTGAGGGGCCTCCGGAACTCCTGGATCGGTCCTGCAAGGGGGTGGGGGGGGTGATATATGGAAAGGGTGAGAGCCAGGTCCCATAAATACCCTGGCCCTGTAGCTGCCGAGACCTGACTGGGACTGGTCAACTAGGGAGTCCTGCACTGAGCAGAGGGTTGGGCCCAATGGCCTTCTGGCCCCTTCCAACTCTAGTAGTCCATGATTCTATGATCTGCTGCTGGGAGGAATCTGGAGGAAGGGGAGCTGAATGGGAGAGAAAGAGATCCGCACAAGTGTTGGGTCAGAAACTTCACTTGGGCCTGGGGCCAATAGGCACACCAGGATTGACAAGGAGGCAGAATCCAATGTACCGGTTGGTTTCTGGATGACTGGAAAGGATTTCCGATTCCAAGTACCTAATACCTAATAAATATTCAGCACATTCTGTCTGTTTTCATATAGGTTTGTTCAGTTCCATGATATGACAAATGCCTGCCAACTCCTTAAAGATTTTTAATATAATTTTCAATCCATTCTACAATAGTTATATATAAGTACCCTCTGCTGCATCTTCTTTTGCTATTCCTCCATCAAAGGAATCAATTATCACATTGCCCATGGCACTAACCTGGAAGATAGCACCTGACAGCATGTATCTGCAGCAAATGCCATCCTCTGAAATATTCCACCTTCTCTGTGCGGGAACTGCCCCCTTAGCTAAATGTCCCTTTGGTTCATATTGGAGCAGCTGAAGAAGGCAGACACTGAAATATTTCCCTTTAAGATAAGTTTCCTCTTCTGTTAGTCAATCCAAATAAAATTTTAAAGAGATTAAATCCCTCTTTCTGGGATCCAAACTTCTCTGACGTGGTGTTTCAGAACCAGTGCAGAGTAGTGGCGAGAATGCTGAGTGGGACTCGGCAAATCCGAACTCTAGACCTGACTCAGCCCTGCAACTGACCCTGTTATACATTTTAGACTCTCAGCGTAGTCTATCTACTTCACAGATCATGGCTGTGAGGGTAAAATGGAGGAGGAAGAGAACCTTGTAAGCTGCCTTGGGTTCTTCGCAAGAAGAGGCAGAATAATAATCAGAACCTAATGCCTTAAAAATAATCTTGCTTTATGACAAAGACAAGATTCAGACAAAGGATACGATTCAAGATGCAGAAGCCAGTGCTCAGCACCTTGCATGTAAAACTAACACGCAAGACGTAGGTCATGGCATACCCAAAGTGGCCTCCTCCAATCCTAAGAAGAGCAAATTCATATGCAGGCTGCGAACTGAAGGTTCCCTGGATCGAGAAGCATCTGAAAAAGCAGTGCTGGACTGCAAGGAGCCTGGTGTGACTTGACAAAGCAATATAGGATCACAATTCAGAATAGGTTACCTGCGGCTTCACACCAGGCCCATTTAGCCAGTATGGGACGAATCGTCTCAGCACATCCTAATGACGTTGCCCAGGTATATCCACTTGTATTCTACCCTCCCTTGAGGGCTCAGTGCCGTCATGTGCATGGAGTTGTGAGGCAGGTTAAGCTGAAAGCCAGTGGCATGTACAGGGGCTGTCTGTTGAATCCCAGCGGGGCCTGAACCCGTGTTTCCTTGGTGCAACATTCCATGCACTACACCACTGGCTGTTGCTCTGTCCAGTTTTCTTAAGATTTTACTGGGCCATAACCTTTCAAGTGTTAAGGGACAGAAACTTGCCATGATTTACTTGTTTTAAAAGAGAGAAAAGGAGACTCTCAGAATGCCGCACCTGGCTGGAAACTCTATTCCTGCACACGGCAATCGCAGGCACAGAAAATACGCAGCTAAGGCTGAGCTAGCTCAGACAGGCGCAGGGAGGATCGATACTTGGTGTTTTTCCAGCACTGCAGTGTTTGACTCACTGGTGCGTCATGTGCTCACTCCAAACCACCTTCCTTGGGCTATTTCTACCATCATATCCCTGATTTCTGCAAACCAGTTCTATCAAGGCTTGTTAATATCTTGCTATTTCCCAAGTGCATACTCGAGGGTGTACTAAACTGGCAGGACTATTCCATGGGGCGGGGGGGGGGGCTTCACTGGGCTGGTGAATAGGTTGGCCCTGGAAAAGCAAGAGTCCTATCAGGCTTGAACAGGACAGCAGCAACTCAGAGAAGCGCCGTTACCCTTCAGCTGCTTTTCCGCTCTTTCACCCCCTTCCAGGCTTCCCTTTTTTCTCTTTGACTTGCCAGCATGACCTGGAGAGTAAACGTGAATTCCCTGCTCCCAGAAGTTCCCCGTCTCCTCAGAAGTAAATCACCTTTCCTAGAGTAAGCATCACTGAAGGTAAAGTCAGTCAGCTGGGAAGAGGAGGCTGCGCTTGCTTTCAGGAGCCGCCTTTCAGAGGAGGGGAGCAGGGGTGCTGATCCTATTGGTGTCACCCCACAAGAAGTGGGAGGGCAGGAGGAAGCAGCACCGCTGCCTCCCCCTCTTCTCTCCCCACCCTCTTCCCTTTCCCCATAATTTTTCGTGAGGGGGCAGGAGGAGCAGACCATTTTTCACCGTCAATTAAAAACAGAATCTCCGCTCATTTGCTCCTTCACGCTTGTGCATAGCAAACAGATGAGGAGAAAATGCTTGCTTTTATTTAGGAGCCATTTCCCTGCACACATCCCCTGTCCAACTCTTCCCTCTGCACCCACAATTGCCTGTATCCATGACACAAAATCCCATTTCCACACAGTGGAAACTGGGCTGGATTCATGAGCACATCTCCCCACAGCAGTGAATGCATTTGGCATAAAGGGCACTCCAGGGCCCCTGGATCATGTGACACGCCTCTTGGCAGGGGGCATATGTGGAGCGAGGGGGGCAAAATCTGATGCTGCTCCTGCCAATTTCGTGGAGTCCCCATTTCTCCAATCACAGTTCATTCTAAAGGGAGCTTCATCACATAATTTTATTCCAAGAAGAACCGTGGGTTAAAAAAAAAGGGGAGCAGCTTCAAGAGGAACATCACCAGGGCCCCCAAGGTCTCCATTTACCATGTCACCAAAATGCCCCCATCCCACTTCTATGTTTGAGAAAAGACTAAGAAACTGGGGGAGGCTTGAAAATCGGGGACAGAAGTGGGGCCTTTTTCCTTAGTCCAACATTCTACCTGTTACAGAGGAGACAGGCAGAAAATAGATCTCCAGACAGCTTGGATAAAAAATTCCCAGCATTCCTGACCACTGGCCATGCTACCAGGGGCTTCTGGGAGCTGACGAGGGAAGCATGGAGATTTCCTTCTGCTCATGTCTGCAAGAAATTTCTGGCTTTAAATAAATGCATCTCCAGTCACTAAGTGGCCAGCAGGCCTAGCCGTATCTGGAACCCCGAACCCGGACTTACGGGACCTTGACATGATTTATTTATATTGCGATTTATATCCTGCATTTTTCCTACAAAGGGCTCAAGGCAGCTTACATCATCTCTCCTCCTCCATCTTATCCCCACAACAACAACCCTGTGAGGTAGGGTGGGCTGAGAGTCTGTGACTGGCCCAGAGTCACCCAGTTGGCTCCATGGCTGAGCGGGGACTAGAACCCAGATCTTCTGAGTCCCAGTCCCATGCTCTTAACCACTGCACCACACTGGCTCAACTGGGATCAGTGCAGACCAGCTTACGCCTGGCAAGCTTCGCCTGAACAGGGAGCAGGAGGGGCAAGGGCCCACACGTGCTGTGCCCCCCACCATTAACTCTGTCGTGGTCCCATTCCCTCAGTTCCAGTCTTGCCCAGAGGGTCCCCCGCCATATACCGTGTGAGTGAAACCCCTGTTCAGACCTTGCCATTTGGACTGCACCGCAGGGGTGCACTGCGGCACTGGAAAGATCAATGGCTCTCTGCAGCAGCAGAATGGCTGGGGGACGTAATGTGATTCTGCCTTTTCACGAGAGTGGCCTTTAGACAGGATTCACCAATGGCTACATATATGGAAATTTGGAGTGCCTTTTCTGAAGTCTGGACATAATTCTTTTTTAATAACTTAGTAGGTTGTCATAAAGATATATAATATACATGCACTCAGGGATACAGATCCTTTTGTTTGAAAAGCAAAATGCTTCAGTTTTGTTCCTTTTTGCTTGAAAGATGTGCTTTGGGTTTTGTTTTTATTTGGTATTGCACAATAAAAAAAATGAAAAAATTGGGGGGGGGGGACCAAGGTGCACAGCCTGACACCCCCTCCCCACCTAGACTGTTCAGGTGCTCAGAGCCCAAAAAGAGGGCTTTCGGCTCCCCCAGCCTGTTCAAGCAATCCAAATGGGGAACCGCAGAGGATTCTTACCATATGGTCTGAGACTCCGGCCACTCTCTGGCACAGGCTCCCGGCAAAGGAGTGTCCTTCCAGCATCCAGTGGTGCTCTGACTGATGCGATGGGATTGGGGGCCTGCTGTCCAACGGCAGGATACTGTGCAGGTGAGGCCATGGGCGGATACTGCACAGGCAGGGCCATGGAAGGGTAATGCACCTGCTGTGTCATGGCAGGATACGGCACCTGCTGGGCCATGGGTGGGTTCACCACCACCTCATCAAAGGTCCAGATCACCTGGAAAGAGTAACGGGGAGGTCAATCCAGGGAAGGCATGGGGAACGCAGCATTCTGTGCTAGGTCTTCATCTACTCACAACCAGACTGGCCTCAGTAAAATGATGAGCCCTGTGGGATCCAGCCCAGTGACCTGTTCCCAGCAGGGGTCAGCAAGATGCTTTTGGGGTGCTCAAAAGCAGGTCGCAGAGAAAATAGCTGCGTATAAAATGACTGTTAGAAGTGAAAATAGCAAAGCAAAAATTGGGAGTTATCTTAAACACCCAACATATAGAAACAATCCAGAATACTGACCTCAGAATACTGAGTCACCTTATACATGGATATATACAGATATCTCTCTGAAATGAACTTCCTGGTCACTTGTTCCATATGTTTTTACTGTATATACTGGCATATAAGACAACTCTTAAAACCAAAAATAGTGAAGCAACAACTGAGGGGTTTGTCTGAAACACCTGACACATGTCAAACACCAGAAAAACAGCCAAAAATATTGACTTCACCTTATATGCCTTTATATGTGGTATATTCATTTATTATATGTGTACATGGCTTAAATGCTCAAAAAAGATCAGCCCTCTCTGGGTGCATTCAGAACAGGGAGCTTTCTCAGACAGAAAACTGTGTGGGTGAATGTGGGAATGGCACCTGGGCAATCACACAGGGGGAACCAGCCATCAGGCCGAAACAAGGCAGCCCACCCTGGTCTACATGGCCTGGTAGCAGCTCCCTGTTTTTCCCAACCCCAAAACAGGTGCTCAACAAGCTTTCTGGGGTTTCAGAGGTCCAAGGAAGAGATTGTCCCTTAACCCTTTCCAAATTGAGCTGTTTGCCAAGGAGCCGCAATGGATGCTGGGAAATTCGGCCAGGCGCCTCCTCTTGCAGGGAAGGCCTGACCTCATAGGCTTGTCCATCGCCATAGCAACCGGCTTAGAAATCCTGCCTCAAACAGGCCCCTCTTAAATCAGGGAGCTAAAAGCCAGCTATAAGGGAGTTGGGGAAGTGGCAGGCCACCAAACATGGTTGGACATAAACTTCCATCAGCCCCAGCCAGCAGGGTCAATGGTCAAGGAGGATGGGTATCCCCCCATGAAAATATTTGAAGAGCCATAGGTTTCCCACTGCCAAGCTACAAGACGTTTCATGCCCACTGCCAAGCTACAAGATGTTGTTTTCTCCTCAGTATTTTCACCCACTTATTCATGTTTTTGGCATTATTTTATGCTAGAATCAGAACCAGCTGGAAATTGGTTCACAATGGTGCAGCAAAGCTTCCAGGAAAACTACATAGCTGTTAGAGACGGACACACTGTGCCTGCCCTGCCTAGGGAAGCCATGCCTGCCAGCTTCCCAAGACAGCTCTGCCATGGCTGAGAGAAGAATCTGTCCCATACGTGCCCACTCCTTCCTGCTCTGGGGCAGCCCTCCTGTTCGCCTGGGATGGGGGCAGCCCCAGAGTGGGGAGGCCTGGGCAGCACAGAACTTTGCCCCTCAGTCTGCTAACATGCCTCTGAGTTCCTTACCCTACCCCCACATTTGTATGCAATTGCTAACCAGAATTAGGTCTCTTGTCTACCTGCTGCTCTTTTCTTTGAGCCTCCCTCTGCCTCATCAGGAAATCTTCTGACAAGGTCACTGCCTGGGCGCAGGTCTCTGGACTATGTTCCCGGACCCAGTTCTGAACTTCCTGGGGCAGGATGGTCAGGAACTGCTCCAGGATCAGCAGCTCCAGAATCCGCTCCTTAGTGTGCCGCTCCGGCTTCAGCCACTGGTGGCAGAGCTCCTGCAGCTGCCGGCAGATCTCCCGGGGCCCCTCAGCCTCCCGGTAGCGGTGGTGCCGGAAACGCTGGCGCCGGACCTCCAAGCTGAGGGTGTCCTCATTCAGGGCCTCTTCCTTCACGTTCCGGTAGTTCCGTCGCTCCCTCTGGTCCGGGCCACTGTAGACAGGCTGCACGTCTCTGTTGAGGCTTGGTAAAGCCTGAGTCACCCAGCCTCCTCCGGAAGGCCACTGGCCAGCACTGGCTGGGGTGTCATAGGAGGCCTGGAAGGAACCTGTGTCCCACTGCAGGGGTTTGTGCAGCGCTGGGTTTCGCCACCCTGACTGGGGATACTGCACCCCCTTTGAGAACTCCTGCCTTGGGGTCTCCCAGTGCGACGGTGGCGGCTGCAAACCCTCATCTGGCTCCTGTTTCACCTGCTGTGGAGCTTCCCCAGCCAGAAACTCTCGCATGGACCCAACTGGGAGGAAACATGGGACTCCACCTCCCCTGATCTCTTGGGCAGCAGGCTCTTGTTCCTCCATTTTCAAGGCTGGTTGCACCCCTGGCTCTGAAGCACCCTGGAACTGGAGCTGAAGGGCAGCTGTTTCCCCTCTCCCCGCTGCCATGTTGTCCACCCTAAGAGAGGTCTCCGTCTTGAGTTAGACTTCCCACGTAAGGCCCTTGGGCCAGATCTCGTCCTGCAAGGGTGATGGCGCCGTCCCCAAAGAAGTGGAAAACAAGGTACACAGGGGGAGCAGAATGGGGAGGGTTTGGCCGGCCGGCCACTTCTGGGGGCACAGGGTGGGGTGCAGCCTTGGCCCGCCTACCCCTGCTGACTTCTCAAAATGGCTCTTCTCACGTTCTCTCAGCTTCAGTCTCCTGACACTTCCTACAGCAGCTGTGAGGAGAGCATCGGAGGGTGTGAGGGCAGGCTGCCAGTATGCTGAGACAGACGGGGCATTCTCCACGCAGGGGTCCTTGAGGTAAGAAGTGGGAACTGGAGAAGCTTCCTAGTCCTTTTACGCCTGGGGAATACAAAACAAGAGAGTGCATATTTATTTGATTGTCCTTTTTCTCCAGCAAATAGACCAAGTGTTGGATGGATTGGAATAGCCCTTCAGTCAGGGGTTTCAAACATCTTCCAGCTGTAGTGCCAGATTCAATTTCAGAGACAATTTCAGGGGATTACATTCCAGTGGCAAGCCTCCCTGAAGGCAAATGGAGAGGTGACAAAGGTGAACGAACAGGGCCCAAATTCCACGAATGCTAGCCTGTGTTCACATAATGCTCTTACTGCCAGTTACTAAGCCTTGGGAGAGGCATTTCAACATCAGAAAATGGGGGAAAATATACAAAAGCAAGGCAACCATTGGAGGCTGGGGGAAGGGATGGAGGCATGGCTATCTGGGGAGCCCCGAGGGCCAAGCTGGGACCTCAAGCAGGCCAAATCTGGCCCACAGGAATGACATTCAACAGCCCTGCTGTAGTGTGGTACAGTGATGCCTTCAAGCAAACGTGCACAGCTGCCCAAGTTGCTTGTCCCTGAGGGGAGCCTGACTCCCACAGCTGAAGGGAAATGGCATGCGATGTATCCTTTTGTTTATTAATCTCTCCTGGGTTCAAATTCTATAAACTATCAAGTTATGCACTGGCTAGGGGAGACTACCATCTAATCTTCTTGGGATACATGCCACCTTTTAGGGGTGTGGGTTCCATAGTTTTGGTGCTATGATAGTAAGATACACAAATCCCTTCTTTTATTATAATATATTTGCATTTACTTTAGCAATGTCTAGGTTGCCTTTCAGGACAAACTTTAAACTATTTCCCACAAAATAAATAAATAAAGGCCTTTAAACACATACTATCAATGAAATGCCAGGATTCAAAGCAGGACAATATCAAAATTCCAGCCAAACCATAAAACCATTTGAAATGCAGTTTAAGAACAGCAGTAAAATAGTATTGCATGGTCAAAAAGCAGTTCTTAACTAAAAACACCTAAGCAAAAAGCAATTTGGAACAAGTAGGTCTTTGAAGCCCATTTAAAAAGCCAGATCTGATAGAGACAGGCAAATCTAACTCTTGGGAGGAAATTCCACAAAGGGGGGGGGGGTCACCACTGAGAAGACTCCATCTCTACTGCCCACCGGTGGGTCTGAGTATATTGGCAGGGTAACAAGCAGGTATCTGATGCAGATGTTTATGTCTGGGTAGGTACACAGGAGAGCGCGTCACATCCACAACATTTTACTGAACTGTACACAGTACAGGCACCAGAGTACACTAGAAGACTCGTGCAAAAAAGCAGTGCAGCGGGGCAAGCAAGTTGTGGCCCTCCAGATCTTGTTGGATTGCAACAACCAGCAGCCCGACCCAGCGCAGGGATGACATGAGTTGCAGTCAAACACTTCAGGGAGGACCACTAACTGTCCACTCCTGCAGTTTTGCCTTCATCACAGTGAAGCCTCCAGGGAGGCCTATTTAGAGCCTGGAGCTGCAACTCAACTAGAGATGTGAAGGAAAACATCACCAAAGGTCCAATTGTGGCCAACACATAGGAAAATTAAGAGCCTCAGCCCTGCTGAGATGCCCAAATTCCCACAGTGGCCAACCAGACACCTGTGGGAAGCCCTCTCCCTCTGCTGGGTCCCAGGAGCAGCTGGACTTCAGCACTCCACCGCTGCCTTGCGATCTGGAGATTTGCTCAAGCCGACTCCATCAGCAGAGGAGCCAGAACTGCAGCAGGGAACGTCCCTTTCTGCTGTGTGCCAGGAGTTTGTAATTCACTGATTTTGATGGCAATCCTATACACACTTGCCTGTGAGTAAGTTCCATTGCAGAAAATGGTGCTTACTTCTGAGTAGATATGCCTAGGACTGGGCTGTTAATATAATGATATCCTGACTTTTCAATACTCAAACGAGGCATCCAAAGAGGGATCTGCCAATGTCAGTTGGACAACAGAGACACAGGAGATCGACACAGAAAGAACAAACCACACAGCACACCAAATGTTCCACAGCATGCACAAAAACACAGGAAACTGCTGGGTAAGACCATAGGCCCACCTGCACAACTACAGTCTATTCCAGCTTTCCCCTCTAGATAGGTTGTATTGTAACTCCCTTTTGTAAGCCGTCCAGAGACGTTTAGTATTGGGACAGCATATAAAAACTCAAATAAACTCCCTGAAGTGTTTATTACTCCCCAGCCAGTAAAGGTGAGCAAAGACTGCAGTCCAAGACATCTAGCAGCCACCTAGTTTGGGGAAAGCTGGGCTGCTCTGACATTAAGATCATAAGAAAAGCAGGCTGGACCAGAGCAAGGGCCTACTTGGTCCAGCACTCCATGCACATGGTGGCAAACCAGCTGCCCACAGGGTCCCTCAAGCAGGAGGGGTGCAAGAACCCCACCTGCCCAAACTCCCCAGCAACTGGTATACACAGGCATGCCACTCCTGGTGAAGGAGGCAGCACATAGCCATCGACAGCCTCCTTTGAATTTGTCCAATCTCCCTTTGAAGCTGTCCGGTTCGGTGGCCATCACTACTTCCTGTGGCAGTGAATTCCATACTTTAAGTATGCACTTTGTGAAAAAGTCCTTCCTTTGATCTGTTCCGACTCTCCCACCAATCAGCTTCAGGGGATGAGCCCCTGGTTCTAGTATTATGGGGAAGGGAGAAATATGCCTCCTTCTGCACAGCACACAAGTGTCCTTCTCCACATTCCCCACAGCACACATCATGTCTATCATGTCTTCCCTTACTCACCCTTTCCCTAAAGCCTAAAAAATCCCAGTTCCTCACAGAGGAGCTGCTCAAACTCCCCATCATTTTAGTTGCTCTTCTTTTTCAATTTCTTTCCCAATTACGCCTAACATGGAGTTTGCCTTCTTCACAGCACACTGAGTCAATCTTGCATCGAGAGGCCCATCAAAACCCCAAAATCCCTTTATTGCTCAGTCACTGCTAGTTCAGATTCCTTCAGCATAGGCTTGAGGTTGGGAATTTTTGCCCCAAGATGCACTACTTTTAAATGTGCTTACACTGAACTGCATTTGCCATTTTGATGCCCATTCTCCTAGCCTGAAGAGATTCTTTTGGAGCTCCTCACAATCCCTTTTGGTTTTAACCACCCTAAAAAGTTTAGTGTCAGCAGCAAACTTGGCTACTTCATTGCTTACTCTTTAGAAAGTGGCGACATCTGGCCATGCACAAACCACACCTACGCAGAAAGAATGCCATGGAGTAGCCCACTTGCTATCAAGCCATGCTCAAGGTTTTATCATTGCTGTATAAAGCCCTAAACAACTTGGGACTGTTGGAGGAGGGTTTGTGATGGGAAAGTGGCCCTCCAAGTCACGGCCACTTTATTTGCCTGTCATCTTTCCCACAATATATTGTACTAAAGTACAACACATAACAAATGGATGTAAGAGTAAAGGTGGGATCCTACATATGCGTAGACAAAACAAAGTCCTGCAACTGTGGAGAACCTTTCCGTGTCACCATCACAGGACTGCCCTTCACTAACTCAGGAAACATTAACACAGATTGAATAAATGTCTATGCATGTGCATCCCTGACCCCACCTGCACTCAGTCACCTAGCAACAAAGATGGCTCCAGGAACATGCCAAAGCTGTGAACTTCGCTTTGCAAAGGGAGGACAGCCTTGTCCACAGTAGGCGATCCTGTTTTAAATCACACCAGGAATTCTCTCCCAGCACAGTTCACACAAATGGTGCACCATAAACGCACTAAGCGCTCAGTGGCTGGCAGCCGAATCCATCCACAGGCTGCCTCGGGACAATCCAGCGCAAGGCCGGTTGCCTGCACAGCCCGGTCTGCCACTGCTGAATCACTCGAGTCCTCCCTTGCAGCGCTGAGCAAGGCTCACGCACCGATGAGTAAACCCATCAGCCTGTAACCAAGAGCTGGGTGGTCCCTAAGGGAAAGCAGGCGCTGCGGATGCAGGAAGTGATGCTGCAGTATCTCCCATGACCACTCCAAGGCAACCCCTGGGTGTTGGTGGGTTGCCAACTTCCATCCACCCATTCTGTGGTGTGTGAAGCTCAGTGGGGGGGGGGCATGGTGTGTCACAGAGTAGAGAACAAGGTCTTATCCCCCACATTATGTTGCATCCCAGTGGGGAGGGGGTTTGGCTCCACATTGCTGTCATATGACAACACAGTGAGAGAATTCAGCTCTTCTGCCCATATTAAGCGTCACGGGGGGCACTGGATCACCACACATTATGGGTGGGGGTGGATTTAGTCCTCCCTACCTAAAATATGATGCATTGTGAGGAACGGTATTTGAGCCACACAATGTGGTACCATGAAGTGGGAATCTGTCAGGTCGTGTCTGCATAGCTCTGCTTTTGTGGGGACGGAATGAACATGATGAGATTCTGTGCCTCCATTCAGATGACTAACTGGATAACAGGAAGTAGGAAAGAAAATTTTGCCTCACTGGACCATATCAAGGAACACTGCATCCCATTTTCTGGAAGCTCCTAAGCTGGACCTAAACTCACCCTGTTGTTCGCAGCAACTTCTTTGCAAAAATGCAAATGTTATGGCATTTTTCAGTCTGGCACAAATTATAACCAAGGGGTAACACAATTGAGAGAACTTCCTAAAACTGTGCATGTTACAAAGCAAATGGATAAACAAAAGTATTCCCCTGCCCCTTTAACGCTGCAATTCATGGGATTGTCCAGAGAAATTGTTCGCCCCTCCCAGCATCCTGTTTCTGGTCATCCAAATACTCCTGAGACATTCACATGCAGGGCATGAATGGCCCTTCCTCTTCTTTGCCCCAATAGCAACAGGTATTCGGAGCAGCCATTTAGCTACCTTGCATAACTGCTGACAAACTTCCTCTTGTCTCCAAATAGACCTAATCAGCTTCCAAAGCCATCTAATGCAGCCTTCCCCAAACTAGCACCCTCCAGATGTATTGAAACTACCATTCCCATCCCCTCCAACCAGCATGCTGGCTTAGCATGCTGGAAGTGGTAGTCTGGAACACACCCAGAAGAAAGAAGGCTAGGGAAGGCCAATCTAAAGCTGTACTCAGGCCTTCATTTCCATGTCATACAGATTGTGTGGCGAGACACAGTGGAGCTACGTGCTGTTCCAGTCTCTCCTTGAAACCGCCTGCATGTTACAGGAAGGTCTGAAGGAGGGAAGTTTGCCCAGCCTCCGTAGGCTGCCCATTTGAACAGGCAATCTGAATTGCATGAGGACCAATGCCTGAACAAGGCTAAGCTAGCAGGTAGCAGCACATCCTGCAGTGGTGACTTGCACAAATGACTTGTGCTGCAGAAAGAAGTCGCTTCTCATGCTGTTCTGGTTTTCCTGTATTAGTCTCCCTCTTATTCACACAACCTGAGATAGAGTATGATGAGGGAGACAGAATGGCTCCAAACTACCGCAACGCACGGGGTCCTAATGCAAACATTTTAAAGAATGGGAGGAAAAGATGGATGCCTATTCTGCATGAGCAAAAGGTTCTAGCATTGTAACAAACATCCTCAAGGCATCTTGGTTGAGATTCAAAGTGCATTTGGGGGCAGGGATGGCTCTTAAGCTGGAAGGTGTCCAGGGCTAAGCCTCCCCCATTGCCCCCCCCCCCCAGTCAGGGAGCTTGTGGGGAGCTAATCAGGCTGCAGCAGCAGTACTTCAAGCAGACCCAGGTGGAGGGGCTGAGGGGGGCTACTGGAATGATGGTGCCAACTGTCATCTTAATTTCCTGCAATGTTAGGTTGGAAGCATTATGAGAAATTAAAAATGCACTGAAATCTAGCCACCTGGCGCTGCACAGTGCTGGACTAGAAAACAATTATAGAATATTATACTTGAAAGGGGCCAGAAGATCCAACCTCCTGCTCAGCACAGGACTCCCAGTTAAACCATCCCTCTCAGATGGCTGTCCAGTTACATACTGAATGCATCTAGTGTGGGAGAGCCCACAACCTCCTGGGGTCGTTGGTTGCACTGTGGTACTGCTCAATAAGAATAATTAAGGAGAATCAAAGCAATCATTAGCAGTGCCTCCCAGGACACCAGGATCCTGGTGGATGCCCAAGGATACCAAGTAACATAAAAACAGAGCGAGTCAGAAGGGGCCTCCCGGGCCATCTAGTCTGACCTCCGGCACCAGCCGGCTCCGCTCATGACATGCCCATCATGTGGACATCCAGCCTATCCTTGAACACCTGCACTGATGGAGCTTCAACGACCCCTTGTGGGAGCCCATTCCACACCCTCAGGATCCTAACTGTCAGGAAGTGCTTCCTGGCATCCAAATGGAACCTGGGTTCTCTGAGCTTTGCTCCGTTGGCACGCGTCCTGCCTTCCTCTGCAGGGGAGAACAGGTCTCTACCCACCTCCGTGTGACATCCCTCACATACCTGTATGTCGCCAACAGATCCCCTCTGAGTCTCCTCCTTTCCAGGCTGAAGAGACCCAGTTCCCCCAGTCTCGCCTCATACCCCATCCCCTGCAAACCGGCCACCAACCTTGCGGCCCTACGCTGCACTGACTCTAACCTGGCTATATCCTTTCTGTAATGAGGGGCCCAAACTGAGCATAATACTCCAGTTGTGGATGCACCAGAGTTGTATAGAGTGGTAGCAATATCTCTCTTGATCTAGAATCCACACTTCTGGCTATGCAACCAAGGGTGGCGTTCGCCCTCTTGGCCACCGCACCAGATCCAGCCAGAGAAGTGCTACACATTTTAATTGGAGTGAAAGCATGGGAATTCTCTTTTCCTGCACTCTGAGTTGTAAATCAGAACAGTTTCAAAAGCAACAAGGAGAATGAGGGATGAAAGACACCAGAAAAGGGGCATTTTTAGAGAATGTGTGAATTCAAGAACAGAGGTCTGTGAGAGGAAGCTGAAAGGGACATGGTAACCTTATGTGAGGTGGGGCTGCCTTAAATCCTCTTGGCAGGGGGAAGTAACAGCAAAATATTACTGGCTTGCACGTGGTGGAGGGACAGAAAAGCAAGAGCAGCAAGTGAAACAGAGGGGCAGCTTTCAGCAAAAGGTTGCACAGTGCTGTCAAGGAATGACACGCACTTCTGCTTATTCACCTCCTCTTCTAAGAGTTTCGGGCTCGGAGGGCAGTGATTTTGATAGTGGGAGAAAGGGTTGGGAGCTGGGGAGAAAGGATCTAGCAAGGCATGGGACAACTCCCTTTCAAACCACTGCCTGCCACCACACATCTGTCAAAGCAAATGCCACGCGCTGTATTCTGAGGTCCTTCCTTTGTTCCCAGCATTGTATCTTTCCTCCGCGCGCGACAATGCTTACCTTTTGGCATTTGCTCTTGGTTTGGATGCAACTGCAGCTTCTGCTGGGTTCAGCAACGCTAACCCCTCACGCTGATCTGGATGGGAGATCCTCGGTGGGAATGGGGGGGATCCTTGTCTCTTTGGGGCGACGGGCTCCCCCTCCTCTGCCTCGCCTCCCCTCCCGGCCTTCCACCACCCACGCACCCGCCCACCAGCGGCGCACGCAGCCCACCCCTTGCCAGCTGCAGAGAGATGCTGGAAATGTGCACCCCACCCACAAATGCCCAAGTTTAGGCAATCCCAAAAGGCTTCGAGGACTGCTGCCGCCGCTGTTTCCTCCAGACCAAGAAGGAAGGACAGGAACAGGAAACACGCAACAACGAACACTTCCGGGCCCGTCTAGGCGCCGGCGCGCGCACTCGTGTTAACCCCCAACGCGCCGCCGTTGTGCTCTGGGCGCTCCAGTTTCCTAAGCAGGGAGGTTTGCACTCTCTGGAGCAGATGGTCCTCCTCAGCTCTTGAAAAAACAAGAGGAACACAAATTCTCCTGTCTCCCTGTGTCCTTTCCCCATGTTCAGGGACTCTCTTGTTGTGTGAGTTCCTGGTTTTGTGCCAGGTTCATGTAGGTGCCCTGCACTTTTACCGCCAAAATCTCTGGATGGAAACCGTTAATCGCTGTGGTTAATACGCCTTCTTTCCACCAATGAAATGGAGCTCATGGTGACTAACAGTAGGAACAAAAATTGTAAACAGAAATGTAGTTCACGGGATCAGAAAACAAATAGCATTAAAGGGGCAAGTTATGCTTCCTCTGTCTGGACGTTGCAGTTAGGACATTTTGCACGTGTTCAAGGATATTCTTGGTGTGCTTCCTTAAACATGGCCATGGGTTCTGTACTTCACTTAGATCCATTCTCACTGTTCGGGCTGTTTTTTGACCCTGCAAGGAGTAGCAGTAGTAGGGCATTTGCTGCATGTGTTCAGAGGTGTGCAGGCTGCTTTGTGCTTTTGTGTTTCCTTAGATTGGGATGGTGATACTCTGCATATGTTCACCCTTGTCAATCTCCTGTGCGTCTTCACATTTGTATGTATAGCCAAGCTCCCAAACCTTCAGAGTGTGGCACAAATGAGACATAAAGAGTAAGGGTGGAAATACACAAGATGGCCAGAATGAACAGTGAGGGATGTGGTAAAAAGGTTATCTTAACATGGTATTTATTCTTTGTTGCTCTGGAGGGCAGGACTAGAATTAGTGGGTGAGCATTACAGAGAAGTTGATTTTGACCAAACATTGTGAGAAACTTCCTAATATTAAAGGCTCTTGGACACTGGATCAGGCAGCCTCAGGAAATGATGGTCTCCCTTTCACTGGGAAGCAGGACTTGGGCATTATAGTATTCTTTATGAAGTATTCAAGCAGGACTTGGATAGCCAATAGTCCATGGTGTTATGGTTGCAACCCAAATTGTAACTCTTCCATTGAGCAGGGAGGACTGGAATAAATGATGCCCAAGACCCCCTCCAACTCTAAGCTTACATGGTCCTACTTTATATTTTCAGGGAAATTATTGTGGTATGAAAGCCCCTAATACTCCCTTCATCAGCTCACTCCTATCATCCCCAGCCAATGCAAGTGCTGATTTGGGATGCTAGAAGTTCCAGTCCGACACAGGCAAGGCTTGAAAGCTGAGATATGCTGCTCTAACATGCATTAATTATTTATTGAAATGGTTTATAGAGTTTTTCTACATAACACCAGGGCTTTTTTTGTCATAGAACGCACGGGAATGGCATTCCGGCACCATTTTTTGGCAGATTTTTCCAATGGATTTTACGAAGTGATTTTGAATTGCCTGTTGGGTGTAGCAGGTCAGCGGCAAAAATCATTAAAATAGTGCCTGCGGGTTGCTTGTGTCTCTGTGAGGGCGCTGCTCGGCTTGGGATTGGTGTGTGTGGTCGCCTGCTGAGTGCTTATTGCCGACGGCGACCATTATGTTTATATGTGTGTTGAGTGACTGGCTATGTGCGAAAGGTAAATACTTTATTTCAAAAACAGTTGGTGAAATTCTTGTTTAGTGTAAAAGTGTGACTCCAAGACATGAGTTCCAGCACTTTTTTTATTTTACAAAAAAAGCACTGTATAAGACATTTACTATTCATTCCCAACAATTGTTTGTTTCGAGATCATTTGGATCAGTGGTACTCAGACTGGGCCAGGTAAGTCCCCACGGCCATGTTATATTTCTCAGTGGCCACATTCTATTTGGGAAGGGGCAATCCCAACATAAGTGTCAGGCATATGATCAGTGTGCCATAATCCTCAATTGCTTTCTAGGTATTAATTTTAGCATCATGAATTTTGAAGATAAATATAACTTGCATTAAATATTTGAAAGAAAAAGCGAGTCTGTAATAAATGAAATTGTTATATTTTACATTTATAAGACATCAAACATATGGTACTGTTTACATTAAATACGCCTCAGGGAAGGCTATCGTCCCCCAGACAAGAGTTCTCAGGGTGATATTGAGTTGGAGGATAAAAATAGGGAAACCTCACAAAAAATGAAAGCCAGGGAGACTAAATACAATCATGTTCCAGTTATGACAAAGAGGGTAACTTTCGCTGGGAGGGTGCCCTAGAGCAGTTCCTGTTACAACCTAGAAGAGGGGAGGAAATTGACGATGGCCAGCTAGTACGGTATCGCCCATCTCCTGGGGGCCCTGCCGGCCACGGTCTGGAAGGCCGGGGCTCCTGGCAATCGCCCCAGCAGCCCGGGTTTTGCCCCCTCCCCCCCGCCCACCCTGGGCAGGGCCTGAGCCGAAGGGCACGGGAAGGAGGAACTGTCTGGAAGCGAGGAGCTCACCACACCTTGCTGCGGCGTCGAAGATTTCCGACCCACCCGCAGGTGGCAGGAGCACCCAGGAAGGCTGTGCCGCTTGGGTCCCCTCCCTGGAAGCCAGAAGCAAAGGGAAAGGCAAAGGAGGGGGGACACGAGGGTAAGTGGGATGGCTCATCCGCCGCCGTCCACCGGCGTCAGCCCAGGCGCATCCACCGGCTTCAGCCTGGCGACTTCATCCCCGGCTTCCGCCCGCCAACTTCCACTGGCTTCCATCCCCAAACTTCCCACGGTTTCCTGGCACCCTGAGCCTGGAAGCCGACCTCCGCCCGCCTCTGAACGCGTGATCCCCAGCCACGCCGCGCCTGGGTCCGACCTGCGCCAGTCCCGGGATGCCCCATGCAGCCGCATTCGCCGCGACCACATTCACCGCCTCGCACACGCGCACGCAGTCACACCGCAGCAGCATCCAGGGAAGGACGCAGCTGCCTCACATCCACTCGCTCACACACTCTGCCAGCCATTCCCATTCGTGCCCCGGCTTCCATCCACAGACTTCCGCCGAGCTTCCGCCAGCCGGTTTCCGCCAGGTCCGTCGGCCGGGCCTCAGCCGGCTTCTGGCCGGGAACCTCGGCCAGCTTCAGGCAGCAGACTCGCCTTCCCACTTAGCAAGTCCCCGTGCTTTCGCTAGGGAACTCGCCTGCCGCAGGCCGCCTCTTGCTCTGCTGGGTTGCCTCCTGTCTTGTGCCGACGAGCCGCCTGCTGCCCCCAACGTGCCCGGAGGCCCTCACGCCTTTCTCGCCTGGCTGCCCCTGCAAGGCCAAGGCCGACAGGGTGGCTGCAGGGGGCCCTGTGGGAGCTACCCGGAGCAGTGCCCAGCGGCTGAGGGCCCAGGCCCGCTTGCGGTCCGGCATCGCCAGTCTTGCCAGGGGCCTGCCGAGGCTCCTGGCGAACGCCTGAGGGGCCCCGCTTTGCCCCGCCCCCTCACCCTCAGCTGGGTATGAGGCCAAGGGCAGGGGAGTTAGGGGGCTGTGGGTGGGAAGAGTTGTCCTCGCCTGTCTGCGGGCTTGACGATTTCGGCCACCCTGAGGGCCGGTGCATCGAGGAAGGCTGTGCCGCTTGGGTCCCCTCCCTGGAAGCCAGAAGCAAAAGGAAAGGCAAAGGAGGGGGACACGAGGGTAAGTGGGATGGCTCACCCGCCGCCGTCCACCGGCGTCAGCCCAGGCGCATCCACCGGCTTCGGCCTGGCGACTTCATCCCCGGCCTCTGCCCGCCAACTTCCACTGGCTTCCATCCGCAATCTTCCCCCGGTTTCCTGGCACCCTGCGCCTGGAGGCCGACCTCCGCCCGCCTCTGAGCGCGTGATCCCCAGCCACGCCGCGCCTGAGTCCGACCTGCGCCAGTCCCGGGACGCCCCATGCACCCGCATTCGCCGCGACCACATCCACCGCCTCGCACACGGGCACGCAGTCACACCGCAGCAGCATCCGGGGAAGGACGCAGCCGCCTCACATCCACTCGCTCACACACTCTGCCAGCCATTCCCATTCGTGCCCCGGCTTCCATCCACAGACTTCCGCCGAGCTTCCGCCAGCCGGCTTCCGCCAGGTCCGTCGGCCGGGCCTCAGCCGGCTTCTGGCCGGGAACCTCGGCCGGCTTCAGGCAGCAGACTCGCCTTCCCACTTAGCAAGTCCCCGTGCTTTCGCTAGGGAACTCGCCTGCCGCCGGCCGCCTCTTGCTCTGCCGGGTTGCCTCCCTCCTTGTTCCCAGGAGCCACCTGCTGCCCCCAACGTGCTCGGTGGCCCTCTGTGCCACCTCTGTGCATGTCAAAGTCCCCCATAGCCTTTTTATAATGATGTCAAACTTTTTCACTATGCTTATCTCCTAGGAATGCCACTCAAAACTTTAGTTCTGGATCATTTATGTATAGGTTGTAAATGATTGCTCCCAATACACATCCCTGCTGCCTTCTCTCCATTTGCAGAATTTTCAATTTTTTCCAACCATCCGTCTTGTTCTTTACCCATTTAGTGTTCCATATGAGGATCCTCCACATAGAAACACCTTTTATTCCATGAGTGCTTAGTTTGCTCAGGAGCTTCTATACAAAAGCCTTTCTGAAGTTCATTTAAACAATGTCTACTGCATTGCTTCTGTCTACATCCTTATTGACCTTCTCAAAGACCTCCAATAGGTTGGTGAGACAAGACTTCCCATTGTGGAAGCCTTGCTGATCTATTTTAGCAGGACTTGTCCCATATTGTGCTTCATGTCGTGTTATGTCATTTGCAAAGTCATCCTCAAGCCATCGCAATCCCAAGGACAACAGTCCTTCTGCCTTCCTGCCTTCCACCATCTCCCTGAGTCCACCTAAGCTCACGCCGACTGCTGCCATGACTCCATCCAGCCACCTCATTCTTTGCATCCCCTTCTTCTTTTGCAGTCAATTGTTCCCAGCATTAGGCTTTTCTCCGGTGAGT